GGTTAAGATTCTGTGCTTCCAATTCAGGGGCTTCGGGTTTGAACCCTGGTCAGGGAAATAAGATCCCATATGCCGCAGTCCCCCCTGCCCAAAAAAGGCAGACGGTTTGTTAGACCTGAAAGTTGACAATTCACCAAACAGATGTTGTGTATCATGATATCAATCAGAAATAGGTAGTTTCCAATTTAGTTGAAACAGTGTCTAGATGCTAGATTTTAGATGTTCAGCTAATGTTCAGCCTGTACAATCAGGGCCCAACAGGAGCAAATTAATCTTTTAGGCTCTTGGATGATGAGTCACAAATTCCATAAAAGGCCCACTTCCAGCCTCTGGCACTAAAGATTAATAGCTCTTCACCCTGAGTGCTTAAGTGTTTGATCCTCTGGAGACAGACACATTCTCACAGGGAGTCTTGACCAAGAGTTCTGACCCCACCCTAGTTATGAGGAAATGCTTTGCCTAAGAAGCAGAAGTTAATAGGGGTGGAGAGGCTTGATGGCTGAAGGAAATAGCTTGAAAGAAAAATCTTATTTAAATTTTTAAAACTTAAAATAATTATGCTAGAAAATGAAGCAATGTATTCAAAATGTTTATGGGTAAATGGCTTTGAATTTAGAGTTCTCTGCCCACTCAAATTGTCAGTCAGATGTGAAGGGACAAAAAGACACTCTTGGGCATGCATGTGTGAACACAGAAGGTGGTTGCCCATGTCTCCACCATGAAGTGATCACTCAGAAACTACTTTGGCAAAAAAGAGAGAGAGAAATTTAATAACGGGAAAGAAATGGGATAGAAGAAAGAGAGGCTGCTAAATACAGCCCAGAATGTGTGCCATTAGTCTGGAAATTCAGAGAGCCTTCTGTCAAGAAGTGAAATTCTAGCACCAAAAGACTGAATTTCTGTCTCCATAGGTCCATTCACACTTTGAGAGGGTTCTTCTTGAGTAACTCACAGCTCTCTAAAAAAAACAAAAAGTGTCTCCTCTGAGCCTGGCCTGTGATCCGTCTCACCTTCCTCCTCAGCGACTCACTCAGTGATGCATCCACAGCAGTGTTCCACTGGGGCTGGCCCAAGCAACGTCCAGCCCCTGGCCAGGCAGTGTTCCAAGCGGTCCACCTCTGACCATCTGTAGGGGATTTCCTACTGCAGGAAAAGAAGGACGACCAAGTTCAAAGTTCTTGAGTCTGTCACTGATGGCTAATTTTCTGAGGCCAAAGTCAGGACATAAGACTTGAGTGTCAGCACTGTTTATAATAGCCAGGACATGGAAGCAACCCAGATGCCCATCAGCAGACAAATGGATAAGGAAGCTGTGGTACATATACACCATGGAATATTACTCAGCCATTAAAAAGAATTCATGTGAATCAGTTCTAATGAGATGGATGAAACTGGAGCCCATTATACAGAGTGAAGTAAGCCAGAAAGATAAACACCAATACAGTATACTAACACATATATATGGAATTTAAAAAGATGGAAACGATAACCCTATATGCAAATCAGAAAAAGAGACACAGATATACAGAACAGACTTTTAGACTCTGTGGGAGAAGGCGAGGGTGGGATGTTCTGAGAGAACAGCATTGAAACAAGTATACTATCAAGGGTGAAACAGATCACCAGCCCAGGTTGGATGCATGAGACAAGTGCTCAGGGCTGGTGCACTGGGAAGACCCAGAGGGATGGGGTGGATAGGGAGGCAAGAGGGGGGATTGGGATGGGGAACACATGTAAATCCATGGCAATGGATTCACATGAACTCTGATTCATGTCAATGTACAGCAAAAACCACTACAATATTGTAAAGTAATTAGCATCCAATGAATAAAAATAAGTGGAAAAAATAAATAAATAAAATAAAATATGTAGTTTTCAAAAAAAAAAGACTTGAGTGTCAAGTTAAAATATGTCAATGTATGGCAAAACCACTACAATATTGTAAAGTAATTAGCCTCCAATTAAAATAAATAAATTTATTAAAAACATATACTTACCTGAACTGAATGGACAGACTATTCAAAACCAGGCAGTTTTTGAAAAATGGGATATATAGCTATCATTATTATCTTGAGATGTTTGTCTGAGAGACAAGGCAGATGTGAAATTCTGAGGTCCTGACCCAGTCGGCACATGAATAATAATCCTTTGACATGAATCTCTTCTTTTTTTAGTATTTACTTATTATTTGGCTGGGTCATATTTGTGGCACTTGGGATCATTAGTTGCCACATGCGAATTCTTAGTTGTGGCACATGGGATCTAGCTCCCTGTTGTAACAACAGTCGCCCGGTCATGTCTGACTCTTGGTGACCACATGGACTGCAGCATGCCAGGTCTCCCTGTCCCTCACCATCTCCTGGAGTTTGCCCAAGTTCATGTTCATTGTATTAGTGATGCGCCAGCCTGACTGGGGATCAAACCCAGGCACCCGGCATTGGGAACCTGGAGTCTGAGCACTTGGACCACCAGGGAAGTCCTTAAACGTCTTCTTATTTATCTTTGAGGCTTCTTCCCAGTGACCCTCTCTCACCTGGGCAGGGGAAAGATATTTGGTGCTTTAGCAGGCTTACACCTGGGCACTCCTATAAATCTTCAGTCTTTAGAAGTTTATTTGATGATTATAAGGGTCTGTTGATTGGGGGGTGGAAGGAGAGAGAAAGAGAACTCAGACTCTTCTCTTTTGTCCCTAAAAATGGACCCCACACTGTGTCTCCCACTTAGCAAACAAGTTCCTCCCTTGGAAGGCAGTTAGGCAGCTTGCTGTTGTTACCTCGAGGGTCGGGTAGGGTAGGGAATCTTTAAGGTTTATTTATTTTACTTATTTATTTGGCTGCATCAGATTTTAGTTTCGGCACGCAGCATCTTTGGTTGTGTCTTGAGGGTTTAGTTGTCCCTCAGCATGTGGGATCTTAATGCCCCAAGCAGGGTTTGAACCCACGTCCCTTGCATTGAAAGGTGGATTCTTAACCACGGAACCACCAGGGAAGTCCCTGGGGTTGGGGATTTTAACTTCACTTAAACAACTTATTGAACAACTTGTTCTTCCTACCCCTCAGAATATCCTACCTCAGAACAATTCTGAAAAACATGACTTTCTATCTCACTACTTTCCCATGGTATATTAATGTCTCTTAGCAATTGATACCTCTAAGAACTATATAAGCTAACTGGTCTACCCCTCAATGCCTTTTGAAAAGGAGCCCTGAGGAAATACTACAACTCCAGGAACCAGTATTGAGAAGATGAATCTCTGGGCTATCTCCTCTCTTCGGGGCCCCTGCAAAGGACCCACTCATCTTGGCCTCCAAATGCCCTGGTGCCAGCTGAGAGAGAAGATAAGAACCAGGAGGGCTCACTTCCCTCTGGAGGTTATATCATCCTTGGTGAACTTTGCCACGAGTGGGAGATAAGGGCTGAGAGGCTTGTTTCCCACAGAGTTTGTTTCATACCCAGTAGACACATGCCCCAAATCCGGAGAGGTAGTTGGCACCTTGCAAATATTTACCTGGCTACATGGCAACAGGGCAGTACTGTTTAACAGAAAAGCCACATGCCTTGCACTCATTCTCTCCACACACATAAAAAAGGCCACATTTTTTTCTGTGAGTATCTTTCCATGTGAAGATTGCACCCCTTTAATTTCCAAATCATCCAGTTATCCAGGGTTTGAACATCCAACGGAGATGATACCAGGTTTGCCTTCCTGTGTGAAGTGGCCATCACTCGGCCTTGGAGTTCAGACTCATCTTTGTGTTCTCAGAAACGAGAACCACAGCACAGCAGACTTTCCCTGACCTGCTGCATATCTTCTTCTGATAAGTTCAGGACACCCTGGTGGCCCAGATGGTGAAGAATCTGCCTGCAGTGCAGGAGACCCAGGTTCGACCCTTAGGTTGGGATCCCCTGGATGAGGAAATTGCCACCCACTGCAATGTTCTTACCTGGAAAATTCCAAGGACAGAGGAGCCTGGCGGGCTATGTCCATGGGGTCACAGAGAGTCAGACATAACTGAGTGACTCACACACACACACACACACAAACACACACACACACACACACACACACACACACAAGTGTGTGGTGCTTACAGAAATCCATAACAGAGTATGATAGAGAAAGGAACCAGAACATGACCTTCCTTTCCATCAGGAGCTGAGGGAAAACATTAAGTGCTTTCAGAGACTCACTTAACTCAGCCACCTTCTCCTCAAAATATGTAAGAAACTGTGGGCTTGGTACCATGGCAATAGCATGTTACCAGAAAACTTGTCGAAAGGTCAAGCTCGTATGAAGAACGGGGGATGACCTTAGTCACTGAAATCTCACACAGCAAGACTGGCACTTGCCTCTGTGTAAATAGCATTCTCTGATGTGCCATATGCCTCAGCTGGTCAGTACAAGGGCCTCCTGTAAGAGGAACAGTCCGCACGTAACAACTTTATCAGGTAGCACTTGTATGGCGCCATCTTGTGGTGAATCCATTTAGCAACTTGAGAGAAAGGGGAAGCCCGTTTTTTCCATTTTATTAATTTTGTGATGTGCAGTATTTTCACTCCTTTTGATAAATTTAAACAGACTGAGCTTCTACTTCCTAATGATACAAAGGAGTTCAGGATACATTTTCCGTTGGATCTAAGAGTGAACAAATACTGACTGAGATTTCCCCACCTCAAAGTCAGCAATTGTAGAATTCAGGAAACATATATACACTACTATATAAAAAATAGATAAACAACAATGATCTACTGTATAGCATAGGAAACCAGAGTCAATATCTTATAACAACTTAAAATGGGAAAGAATCTGAAAAAAATATGTGTGTGTGTACACATATAGAGAGAGAACTGAATCACTTTGCTGTACACTTGAAACTAAGATAACACTGTCAATCAATTATAGTCCAATGAAAACTAAATACATAATAATAAACAAAATCAAGCAAAATTTTTGAGGAAGACATTTGTTTCACAGAAAATTATTTTTTAATGACAATTACCTTTCTTTATTTGAGAAAAAAACTTTATCCCAAGCTGATTCCATTGTATGGCCTCATTTCCAGGCAATTTCAAAGATAAGGGAATTTTTCCAGATATGGTCATTGATGGATTGGTTTCAAACAACCTGAAAGGAACATAAGGGCCTGAGCACATGAGTCTATATTTTTCTATTTTCCTTTTCAACTTGAGAAAGGGTTAACCAGTAGTCTCCCTAAAATTTACATATCAACAAAGCAGGGCATCCTGTTCATGTATGAAAACTTCACATGATTGAATGTGCACCTGCAGAACCAGAGCTGAAACTCAGGTCCCCGAATTTCTAGGCTTGCGGTCTTTGCTGAAGATCTCAGAGCTTTGCTTAGCTAGTGAACCCACAAGAGTTAGGAGTGAAGTTCCACATTTGTGTGGTGAAGAAATCAGTTGCAAATCTGTGACTGAGCAGTCATGGGAAATACCTGAGCAAGACAGCCAGCCCTGTCAAGTTGAGGACTAGAAAAGCTCCAGGCCACAGTCAGGATTCTTTATGTTGCTAGCCCAGCCTTACAGCAAACACTGTCGCCCACCCCCCCACCCAAAACTCACCAGCCTGTAGAATACCCCTGCCCCCAAAATCTTCTCAAGTCCTGCAGTTGAGGTAACATGGTGATGTCACAGTGCCAAGTTCACAGAAGGCGCTCAGTGACTGCTCTTGACCTGTTAACTGATGACATATCCATTGTAATGAATATCAGAAGACCCCCAATGTCTGAAACATATTGGCCATGAAATAAATACTTTGTTGACTGCATTTTTAAAAAGTTAAATCAGAATTCTCTCTGAAGCCACTACGGAGAACGGTATACAGGTTCCTTAAGAAACTAAAAATAGAGTTACCATAGGAACCAGCAATCCCACTCCTGGGCATATATCCAGAAAAGAAGAAAACTCTAATTCAAAAAATACATACCCCCCAATATTTATATATAGCAGCACTATTTATAATAGCTAAGATATGTGGAAGCAACCTAAGTATACATCAACAGGTAAATGGATAAAGAAGATGTGATATATACATACATATATATACACACACACATACATATATTGTTATTACTCAATTGCCAAGTCATGTCTGACTCTTTGCAATCCCATGGACAGCAGCATGCCAGGCTTCCTTGTCCCTCACCATCTCCCAGAGTTTGCCCAAGTTCATGTCCATTGAATTGGTGTATATGTATAGATTTATATAATGGAATACCACTCAGCCATGAAAAATAATGAAATGGTAATTTACAGCAATATAGATAGAACTAGAGATTGTCATACTTGAATAAAGTCAGACAGAGAAAGAAAAATATCATGATACCACTTATATGTGGAGTCTAAAAAAGTGATGTAAATGAAGTTGTTTATGGAGCAGAAATAGACTAACAGGCATAAAAGATAAACTTATGGTTACCAAAGAAGAAAGAGGTAGGGAGGGATAAATTAGGAATCTGAGATTACTATATAACACTACATATAACATATAGCACTACAATATATAGAATAGATAAACAATAAGGACCTATCGTATAGCATAAGGAACTATACTCAATATCTTGTAATAACTGAAAATGGAAAAAAATCTAAAAAAGAATGTATATACAGAACTGAATCACTTTACTGTACAGTATACCTGAAACTAACACATTGTAAATCAACTATATTTCAATTTATAATAAATTAAAAAAATAAAGAATTCTCTCTTGTCCAAACTTTTAGTTATTTTAGTTCAGATTAAGATTAAACAAATGTTTATTGACTGTTCATTGATATGGGCCAGGCATGTCCACATACATGTTCATTGTGGCTAAATCTGTACAGTCAGCCTGGCTGACAGAGGCTGTCCTTCAATAACCATGCATTGTTGTGGTGGGAAGTCCCTCTACTGGAAGAAATAAGCAGGGATGGGTGAGGATTATCACAATTAGCTTGCAAAAATTTGGGAGGTGAAGGTGCCTGAAAATGCTGTTGAGGTCAGGAGGGCATCTAACTCAGTTCTCTGGAAGCCAGGTGCTGGGCATAACGTGAAAGGCAGGACAGAGAAAGCCACAGACAATGCCATCGGCCAGGTGAGAGTGGGAAGGAGGATGTGGTTGGAGAAAACGGAGATCAAAAGCAGTGCGGTTGAAGTTGGCCCTCAGATTTCAGGAAGGGAGGACCATCAAAGGAAGCCACAGGAGCCCAGGAGCAGAAATCATTTTAGTGAGAGTCTTAAAGTGGAACAAAGGAGAAAACAGGAGACGGGAGAGCGCCTGGATCAATGGTTTGAGGATTCTGCAGCTCTCCTTCCTGTCCTCCCCTATCCAATTTCACTGCTCACTCATGGAGGGGAGAGATTAAGAGTTTGAAAGGAGAAATGTTCTTTTTTTGCTGGTCTTAGCAGCCAACATAAAATGTTAAAAGGAAAAGAAAATGAGCACATGTGACTGAGGGGAGTAGGGGTACCATGGTGACCAAGTGTGGATTTCAGTGATCTGTTTCCTTCTCATTCTGTTACCAAAATACTCCAAGGACATGTTTGTGATGCACTAACCTGGAAGGAAGGGAAGAGATCTGAGAAGATACAGATACAGATGGAAGGAGAGATGCCTAGGGCATAATTAGGCAGTGGGAGGCAGCTGAGGAAGGGAAAACAGATTTGGGACAAGTCGTAGAAATAGCTGCAAGGCCCTAGAGAGGAGCTGAGAGTAGCACTTACATAGTCATTCTGGGAGAGGAGGCAGACAGCCGTGCAGGAGGACGGTGAGGGGTGGGGAGGGGGAGGATGGGCAGGCATGGAAGTTATGATGAGAGGGCACTATTGCACCCGGGAGGGAATCTTGACACTCTGAGGTGACCCATTCCTGCTGCCCCCATCTCCAAATGGCCCTCCTTTAACTGCAGGTGGGACCCTTGCTGCCACCTGCATCAGGTCAGGGGTTAAGTCACAACTCAGTTTCAGGTGGAGTAGTTGCAGCGGAAACAGGTGACAGATGACACACCATAAGAGGAAAAATGTAAGGACTCTGCTCCTTTAAAAGGACTCTGCTTGCTACTCTCCCACCTTCACCCCCCCAAAAGAGAACACCCCTTATCCTGGGGCCATCTTGAATAACAAACACTGAGGAAAGAAAAAGGGAAAACAGAAGCAATGCAAATATTTTTCTAAGGGGTGAATTTTCCATGAGGTGACAGTTACTCCTTTCTCTACTCCCCACAGCGAACCATGTATAACACATCTCCTCCTGGTCTGGTGGCAGAGAAGCCTCTTGGGATGGAGAGCTGGCTCTCCCTGGTCTGTTAAGGTCAAGGCCACTGGGGCTGAGCATCCTTTGGGAAGTTCCTTCTCTGTGGCCTCCCTACTTCCTCCACCCCAACCTCCAACTCCACTCTGATGGAAAGACACACCAAGGAATACAAAGAGAGGGCATAGACAATAAAAGTGGTCTGTCTATAGAAGTTTCTTGTGCACATGTCCGCAGATATGAAAGAATATGTTCAGGAAAGATTATGGAGAGGATGACCAAGTAAAGAGTCTATGAATTTCAGGAGAAAAATATGCAACCTGAAGAATAGATATAAAAGATGCTTTCTTAAAAATGAACAAAAGCACACAAACCATAAAATAATAACTGAAGGTTTGCTATCTGTGTCATTGAAGTCCAGAGGAAGAGGAGAGACAGATACAGAAAATATCTTAGAAAAAAATAATGTCCCCAAATTCCCCAAATCTGGTGAAACATTATATGTTTATAATATAAACATATAAGTTGCAGATTCAAGAAACTCAGTGAATCACAAACAGAATAGATGCAAAGAAAAACATGCACAGATGCTGAAATTCAAACTGCTGAAAGCCAAAAAAAAAAAAAAAAACAGGAAAAGGAAAACATTTTCAAAAGCAGCTAGTGAAAACCACCTTATCTATCAGAGAACAATGATTTTAATTATTGCAGGGTTCACCTCAGGGACAACGGAGGACAGAAGATAGTAGAAGGACATTTTAAAAGTTGTGAAAGGAGAGACCTCTTAATCCAAAATTTCATACCCGTGAAAATATTCCTCAGGAATGAAGGCAAACATTCTCAGATGAAGAAAAACTAAAAGGACTGCCAAAGGAAGTTCTTCAGACTGAGAAATTATACCAGAGGGAAACTTGAAACTTCACGCACAAAAGAAGAGCTGCAGAAATGACTGGTATCTGGGCCTACATGATTCAGGTTGGCTACTTCCATATGCGATCTACACAAGCCTCCCCATTCTTCCAGGTAGAGTTGTATGTGCTGAGTGTTTCTCCAAGGTCAGCAAATGCTTTATGATTATTCTTGTATTCACCTACAGTGGCTCTCATTGGTCCTGTGTATATGATGTAGGAAATTGGTTCAAAGATTCTGGAGACATAATATCTGAATTCAAAGCCTACAACTTCCACTTACTAATTGGGTGTCCTTAAGACAGTCACTTAACCTCTTTATGCCTCAGTGTTCTTATCTTTAAAATGGGAGGGTAATGTATCTCCCTTGCATGTTACCAAGAAGATTAATTAGTTAATGAAGAGAAAGTGATTAAAACAGGCCTGGGAACCTACTATGTGCTTTGTGTATTAACCACTATTGCAAGTGCTTGAAAATTACTAAATAATTATGCCTAGCATGGACTGATACACCATCAGCCTTCAATTTCAAACCCAACAGTTATCTAAGGACTAAACTAATCTCATAGTAAATCCTATGCTACTTGTATTTTTGTAAAATCTATATCAAAACATTTTGAAAATCGGAGTGGTCAAGAAAGTTCTCTTTTTTTTTCAGGTGCACCTTTCCTGACCAGAGATCCAATTACCTGCCCCCACCCTCCACCAGGAAGCATGGAGTCTTAACCACTAGACAACCAGGGAAGTCCCAAGAATGTTCTTTTGAAAAATCAAATCTCAATTGTAAATGATGTAAAACAGAACATAAGTTGACAGGTAGGATTTTGCAAATGAATAATATCATCTGGCACATAAAGCTTAACCACGTCTCTTCACTCAGCTAAACCGAGTATTTTTATCACACATTCTTTCTCATTGGAGAGCTCAATTTGAACTTTTTGTTACTAGTCCTTACCATGAACTTTCCTCTAATGGTTGATATTTGAAGTAGATTTGCAAAGACAGATGTGTCCATTCACAATTCTAGGAAATACAAACTCCAATCCCTCTGTCAAGTTCTGTCATCAGAAGCTTACCTACTTAAGCCTCCCACAGAAAGTCCTTCAAGATTCTATTTTGATATGTCTTTGATTTTTTGGTCAAAGGTCAAAATAAGAAATGGCCATATAAAGAATATATTTGCATTTGCTGTAAAACTGCTAAAATATAAAGACATTCTTCATTATACAGATTTTACAATATAAATCCCCAAAGATACTATCTCTCTCCTGATAAATTACTATCAGCACTTTTGTTTGATAATAAAAATTGTATTCAATGGTTTGCCACCCAGGTAGTGCACTGGAATAGTCTTGAGTAGGTTTTAACCCCTCTTTGTCCTCAGGCCTTACCTTGCACCAGTTAAATCAGAATCCTGGGGAATGAGGGGCTTCCCAGTTGACTCAGCGGAAAAGATTTCGCCTTCCAGTGCAGGAGATGCAGGAGACCAGGGTTCCATCCCTAGGTCAGGAAGATCCCCTGCAGGAGGAAACTGCAACCTACTCCAGAATTCTTGCCTGGGAATCCCATGGACGGAGGAGCCTGGCGGGCTACAGACCATGGGGAAGCAATAGTCAGACACGACTGAGCACAAGCACACACACACGTGGGGAATGGGACTCAGGCTTGATTTCTTAAAAGTTACCCAGGAGTTTGTCTGTTTGATTGTTTTAAGATTTTTTGATGTGGA